GGTAAACCTCTCACTTATTGTTCTATATTGTCCATGCATGTTCAAATTTATATTAAAGTATTACATGTAGCTTATATTCAAGTTTACAGGTTATTTCGTTATAATAGCACTTATGTTATTTTTCAAAAACAGAACCACCTTTTACCCCTGTCCCCCCTGGCAACCAACAGAACATTGCTTTCTCAATGCGACTTGGCAGCAACGCCCCCAACGCTGGCTATCCAATCATTTTCCGTGAAGTGATCTACAACGGACAGAACAGCTACAACACTCAGAATGGGATCTTTACATGTGAGACCCCGGGTGTTTATGAGTTTGAGTTCAGCCTTACGATTTTCCAGAGCTCTGCCAATGTGGATCTGGTGCGCAACGAGAAGCGGATTCTTCACTCATTCACCACAAAGCATACCGGTTACCTGATGGCCAGTGGAAGCATTTATGTTCAGCTTGAGCGTGGTGACAAGGTCTGGCTGGTTGCTCGTAACAGTGCCAATGGCATCACTAGTAACAGCTACTTCAATGGGCATCTGCTATTTAAAGTGTAGAATGTTAACTAATAGACAGCATCCTCACAACAATGCCCAGGTTTTTTTTGCATGTCTTTTGTTTAACTTGCACCTTTTAAAAGGCTGCCTTTAGGTTATGATAATTACTGTTATAATGATTTTGTAGGTTACTAAGATTAAAGTGACCCCAATCTAAATCCCTTAACCTCCTTGACCTGGCGTCCACATATGGGGACATCACATTTTGGGTTGTCTAGACCACAACACTAAATTTTGCTCTTTCAAATGAGCCATATTGCTCAAACAGGCACAATTGTTGTTTCTCATTTTGTTTTTGTACTGAGGAAAAATGCTACTGTGTTCAGACACCAAATAAAGAGTTCAATTATGACACTACAAATCTCAAATATCAAAGAGAATTTTAAAATGAAAGAGTTGGGGTATTAGGAGGTTAAAGATAAAACAACTGAAACATGCTGTGGTTAATATGTTGCACTCTTTAAATGTTTTAAAGATTTTCATTTAATGAAGAAATATGTACAATCCATTGATACCTGTGGTTGCAAAAAGGGATGAAGAAGTTTGTTGTGAAGATTCCTTTTAATCGTGAATGATTTGTTCAATCTTGTCTTTTAAATTCCTGAAGATTTATTGTTTGTTGTGTAAAACTATAACTTCCAGTTCCTAATAAATGAAAATGAAAATGAGCAACTAGATGTTTTCTTTTGATCCCTCCAACTCTGAAAGTCAGAGCTGAATGCTCCATGCAGACCAGGAGATGGCGTTGTCGTAGAGGCTTTTAAATCACAGGAAACTAGGCAGACGCGCAACCACGTGGATCAAATTCACTGACTTTACTAGAATGTTGTGATTATGCTGATTCTTGAGTTATTTTAACTCAATCTGTATGAAGATTGATGATTCTTTAAAAACACAACACTTAATTTTGTTTAATGTTTCCTTTAAACAGTTTTAAAGTTTGTGATAGTTTCATTAGAACAAAGAAACAAAGCAGATTGATCTTTCAAAGATGACTAAAGCGAAAGAAAATATAATATATTCTGGGGGTATTTATCCCCGTGTTTCTGAAACGATGAACCCAATTCAGTAGTTGGTAAATCCTTTCCAAAGCCACGTTTCTCTTATTGTAAAAATAAATTATCTAAACTATTACAGATAATAAACTCACGCTCCCATGAAGTGGTCCGCATTCAAAAATGGGTTTTCCTTTTTATTTTTGCAGCCTGACAACAAGTACAAAATTTCTCAGATAAAGAACTCAAATCAAATTTTAAATAGGAGGTACGTTATCGAGTTAATTTACATAAAGCACTTCACCACTTTGAGATTGAGAGTTTAAAAGCATTCTTTGATCATTTGTTTTACATTTACTTATCGCAAAGGTTTGGAATAGTTCTTTTGTTTTGTTTTTCTGTTTGTTTTTGTTTTTTACTTTCAAAGGAAGCACATTTTACACTTTAATGACCGAAAGTAAAATAGCGTTAATGCAACACCAGTGCATTTTGCACTATTAAAAGTCAAAACATCTGCAGTTGAAACGAAATTTTTGAAGTAATGTGTTGGGCAGATGTTAACTGCACTGATATCATGAAGCCAATTTGCAGTGAAAACTCATTTTGATCAAACAGCCTATAACAGTCATGTGGGGATTTATTCAGATCCTCGGGCACAAACAGACTGTCTTCTCTCTGTGTTATTGAAAGTAGCTATGGACCAATCCCTGTTTTCCATTTGGCTTGCAATATTTTATTCTATATACATACATTAAGCAGAACTTAATCCGAATGTTTGGGGAAACTTTAGCTGGGTGATGATGCTTAAGGAAAGAAAAGTGGCCACCCGGCCTCAATTGCAGATGCCGACACTTCTCCCGGGGATCTGCGTCCTTTCCTAAATAAATAAACAAACATATAGCGATCGATTAGGGACGTGGAGGGTCGCATTAGCTCTGTTGTTTTCTGCACAGTGGAGAGGAGGGACGGAAACCAGCTGCAGCGTCTTCGACTCCCCCTTACGCACAAGCCACGCCCCTCCTGCCCTCCGCGGACACGGTGCCATCCGTGCAGAGTGGATTTGGTTGTCCCATGGGAGCAGGGGAATTCTGGGGAGGACGAACGGCACACGATACCCCATTGTTTGGTTTAGCAGTCACCAACCCCCCCCCCCACAACTCTCCCCAGCTCCTCCCTAAAACGCACGGCCTGACCGTCTCAGTGGGTTAAATTGATTAGAAAGACGTTTGCGGTCTGACTAATCCCCCATTCTCGCTCCGGCTCCCTGCTTCACCGAATTACAAAAGCCACACATTCAGAAAGTCTTGCGGGTTGCGATAATCGCGGCCGAGCCTCTCACACCTGCGGGCTGAAGAGTCGGGGCAGGCCGGACAAGTCAATACTAGACGAACTCCCAAACAAACAGGTTATAGCAGGAAGATTTCGGTTAATGATCTGCATGGTCTTTTTCCTCTTTTCAATTCTCAAGGTGCACAAAAGCCTAAAACCATGAACATTAAATTATAATCGACAATACTCCTGTACAGTAATTTAAGTTATTTTTCTCTATTTGTTTTGCATTTATTTGGAGGAACTTTTTTTCTCAAT